CCAGGCATATGATGGGATATGATGTTGCATCCCATCAGATGCCTTTACAATGTAATTTAATTGTTTCATCAAGTTTGGGCATTTTATTTTTTGTTTTTAATTTTTAAATTGTTTTGCATTTTTGTATGTTTTAAGATGTCTTGAGCCTTTTCTAAGAAAATTTCTGTGTATATGTATGCCCACAGTATTGCTTGTATCCATTTGTGTCCCTGAACTCATGGAAGGCTCTTGGATTTGGAGGCTTCCATGAATGGAAAACAAGAGACTTGATCTTTGCAAATCCCCCATTTTCTGCACACCCCTCCCCCCATTGTAGCTTTCATGCAGTTTCAAGGGGTTCCAAAATTCTTAAGAAGAATGGGGATATGCAGAGGGATTATGGAGGCAAAGGGAAAACAGTGAACATTATCATTCCTACCATCGCCCTTAGGGAAACTTTCACAAGATCAAAAGCCTGACAGTGGAGGGGACAGCTGGACATAACCAAACTAGCCTTTGACTTGAGTGTATCTTAGGAAGATTGATAGGGCATGTAATTGTAGACTATTGTACTAAGGCCACTTAAAGGATCTTGCATTGTAAATTGCAACATTACTGATCAGCTAATTTTGGCTTAGAATAAAGATTTTTAAAATCATGCCCTGTATAGAAATCATATTTTGGTCCAGTTTACAGCTGCTTTCCGCATTGCCTTAGATCATTTCTGAAGGCACAGCAAGAAGTACTCTGAAATTAATCACCCAGTTAGGGGTCCTGGCAGTTTTTTGGCATATTTCAGTGTTGAACAAAATGCTGGAAAGAATATACCAATATTTCCAGAAATGGATTAGGAAATATTTATTGGTAAAGCTTAGAAGAAATGAAATCTTGTTTTAAGTTCATTGTTTAAGCTATTAAAAGTTTGGTAACTCAAATATAGGATCAGAATTTGATTGATTCAGGAAAAAATATGGCAGTGCTTATATTGGAAGCATTCTTTTACTGTTATTCTGGGCATCCTGATGCATTTTTCTTTCTCACTGCCTTCAGTGTGGCTTAAACATAAGCAATGAGCACATGACTATAGCCTCTGAGTATAGTGTTTCCTTATTTTAATCTGAGTGGTTCTCATTTATGTTGATTATTTCATGGATTCATAATTGTTTCCAAAAGCAATAATACCAGTTCTTGTCTTGATTTCTTTTTCTGCAATGTAATTGTAAGAAATAGAACAAGTTAGTTAAAAGGATCATGACAACTAACTAAAGACTGCTCTAGAATCATGGAAAGTTGAGTTAATATCAACTAATTAACTCTCCCTTTTTCTTCCCATAATGAGAGGTGCTAAAGTAATGTTCAAACAGATCTTTATTTATTACAGTTATATCCAATATTTCTTCTATGGTGTTCATGGGGTTCCAAGGTAGTTTACCATCTATTCTAGACATTGATCAAATTCAATGCTTATTTATCTTTAGCTTGAACATCAGGCTTTGGGATATTTATAATTCACATTTTTTAAAATAATGCAGTATTGTACATTTATACACGTTGTTGTTGTTAGTCACAAAGTTGTGTCCGACCCATCGTGACCCCATGGACAACATTCCTCCAGGCCTTCCTGTCCTCCACCAACTGCTTCAGTGACTCCATCTAACCACCTCATTAAATATGTTGCTGAATGAGCAGTGAGGTTAATCAGTGATTAGTGAGTGTAATAGGTAAAAACACTTGAGTACTCTTAAGGAGAGGATAAAATCCATTCATAAGCCAGGTATAGATAGCAGCTGTGAGTAACAGCTATGCCTATTCAAAAATATATACAGACCCACTTTGAACTAACTTTCCTTGACATTTTTAAACATCTTGAAAGTTACTTTTCTAGTCTTTTCTATTTCATAAGAAAATACAATAAAAGTGGTTAAACTAAATCAGTCCACTTACCTAAATTTTTGGATTAACTTTATGAACACACATTCATACTTTCAAATCATTTGGTTATATATGGTCTTGGTAGGGATAAATGAGTTATAAGCCCCTAAGCAAATAGAATGCCTATGATCAAAACTATCATGGTTGGATCAAGGCCAGACACAACAGATCTTCAAAGTACCTGCTAGCTAATTTGTAGTTCATAGCTTACAGCTGTGTAAGACAGAAAGACAAAATGATTTTTTAGACAAGCCTAAGTACCCTATGTAAAACATAAGCTAAAACAGTGGACTTCATACATAGGAAAGTACATACGAACTGTTCAGCAAACATTTCAGTATACCCTAATCTGCCTTTTTCTGTGCCCTTATTCATTAATTCGTATAAGTCTTTCCTAACTTAGAAGAGTGGTCAGGGGGACTGACCAAGCAGGTAAGGATAGTGGTGAATATCACTTTGTAAATAAATATGAAAGTGCTATTTATTTAACACTACTTTGAAAGTGGTCTTGAGTGCCATTTTTTGGAAGGAAGGCAGTTTATACATCAAGTAAATGTATGGCAAGTTATGATTCCATCTTGCCTAAAGGAGGCAATGGTGGGACCTTTGCTAAAATACCATCCCTGAGACCCACCATATCTGATTATTTCCAGCTAGTCTCCAATATTTCATTCTTAAGCAAGGTGCTGGAGCATCTGGTAGCTTCTCAGCTCCACAGGTTTCTGGATGGTATTTGTATTGTATTGTTTTATGCACTGTTGCAAAAATAGCCAGAGAGCTTTGGCTATGGAGAGGTAGTGAGGTGAAGTGTTTTTGTTGGACTTCTCATTGTCTGTGGTGTCATTCTGAGGTGTCTTGTCTGGGATCAGACTGGTAGATACTTTAATGGTGGCTCTCAGCTTTCTTGGAGGAGCAGTTTCAGAAGGTGATGCTGGGGGTTCCTGTTTGACATGGCTGTTGGTCTTTCATATATCTTAGGGCTCCAACTTGTCCCCTGTGCTCTTTAATATATCTGAAGCAGAAGACCTTTACTGCTTACATTGGCTGCCAGTTGAAGTCCGGGCCCAATTTATGGTGCTGGTGATGACTTATAAAGCCCTAAACGGGTTGGGTCTTGGATACCTGAAGAAGAGCCTCCTTCCCTATATGCCCTCCTGCCCCTTGAGATCTGAGGGGGTGGTCCTTTTTTGGGAGCCCTCCTTGAAAGAGATTAGGAGAGTGGCTACCCGGAGGAGGGCCTTCTCTGCAGTGCCACCCTGATTATGGAGTACTCTCCCCAGAGAGGTTTGCCTGGTGCCGACACTTTTTTCTTTTTGGCACTAGGGGAAAACCTTGTTATTTTCACATTATTTTAATGTTTAATTTGTATAAATGTAGTTTTTATATTATTGAATTACTGGAGGCTGTGCTCTATTTTGTTTGTTGCTTTGTTGTAAACCGTTCCAAGATGCCAGCAGATGGATGGTCCAGAAAAGCCATAAATAAATAAACACACGAAACCTCTGGGAGATGAGGTTTGGGATTCCAGCTTTCTTTTCCATTTAAGTTGAAGCAACATGTTCTAAATCAGCATCTGTTGCTAATAATGAACTGAATAAGGGCAAATAAATTCAAGTTTATCCCAGACAAGACAAAAGGCTTCTTAGTCAAAAGGCAGCTCAGGGAATAGGGGTTCAACCTCTGCTGGATGAGATTGTACTCAGTGTGAAGACTCGGATTCACTATTTGGGTGTCCTTCTAGATTTGCTTCTGTACCTAGATTCTCTGGGTATGGCAGTGGCCTGCAATGCATTTGTGCACCTAAGCATAGTGCACCAGCTTTACCAGTTCCTAGAGATGTTCAATCTGGCCATGGTCATGCATGTCCTAGCGAACTACAAGGATGTCCTCTGCATGAGCCTGCTTTTGAACATGTTCAGAAACTGAAGCTAATCCAGAATGGTTTGCTCACATGATTGATCGTCATGGATTACAGGGAGCACACGGCTCTCCTGTTACAACAGCTTTACTGGTTAATGGTCAGGTACTGGGTACAATTCAAAGAGCTAGTTATGATCAATAAATGCCATTACATCTTGAAACCTAGCTTTCTGAAAGATTGCTTTCTCCATATGGGCCTGTCCAAGTTTTAATGTCTTCAGGGGAGGCCTTTCACTCAGTCCTCCCATCAAAGGCATGTTTGATAGGGAAGTGAGAGAGAAACGTTTTAGTGGCCACTCCTTGCTTCTGGAACTCCCTGCTATGGGAGGCTAGGTTTTCTCCCTTTCTCTTGACCTTCATCAGACAGGCAAATATGTTTTGTTTGGGCATACTTTAACATATAAGCAGATCTATTTGTGAACAAATGTGATTCCCTACATATTGGGTCTCTTGGTTCCTCCAGGGTGGGAAGGAATGTACCAACTTGAACTTGTGGCCTATTTCCAATCTTACCTCTTAAGAATACTGAAGGTAGGAGGAAATAACCCTAACCCTAAACAGGACTTTAGTTTCATGTTCATAGCTTTTAATATATCAGACAATATCCAGTGTAGTATGGCACTTATGCAACTGATGTAGCACTACCAAAGGCAACCACTAGTATAATCCAATAGCATACGGTGGTATAATGAACTTTGTGGGGAAACCTGACTCACCAGCCTCCGCTGCTCCCATTTCACTAGAGATCACTTTCTGCTAGCTCTGCATTAGATACATGAGTGTAAAAGCCCCACTGGATAGTGCCCATGATTTTATATATAACATGTTTCAAATACTTTGGCCACCTAATGAGAAGGAACAACTCACGGAGAAGACCCTGCTGCAGGGAATGATTGATGGCAAAAGGAGAAGGGGACAGCAGAGGATGAGGTGGCTAGATGGAGTCACTGGGGCAGTGGGTGTGGGCTTGAGGGGACTCCGAGGGATGGTGGAGGACAGGAGAGCCTGGAGGAATGTTGTCCATGGGGTTGTGAAGGGGCAGGCATGACTTTGTGACTAAACAAAAAAGGAGAAAGTAGTGAAAGAAGGTAATCTCATGCTCTTATTGAATCTGCAACAGTAATAGTCAAATTCTAAAAAAAACTATTTTGTTTTTATTTAATTAAAAGACACGGAAACTAGATGTGTATTTTGAATATGAAGAAAAAATCATGAGCAAGTCCACACTGGATAAATCACTTTTGGATATGATCTCCGACCCTGATGGTAAGTGTAGAAATTGAATTTACTGTTAAGTTCCTTCCTTTCAAAAACATTCTGGGGATTGTATATCATACATGCAAGCTCAGCCAAACCCAGTCTGCCTGAGACCTTGGAAAGCCAGTGCTACTACTGGAGTGAGTGGACTAGATGGGAAAAGCTGGCCTTGGGCACAGGGGAAGTGATCTGGTTTGAAAATATTATGAAAACATTAAATTGATTAATGATGCAGATGTTATGATATTAGGTAATCTTAGTTGGGATATTCCAAACCTGGTTTTCCAGAGATGTAATTAACCTAAACAGATCTGCAAATTTCAGAAACCAGTTTCTGATAGTAGTGAGTACATGAATCAAAAGCGTCAGTATAATTATTGAATATATTTTCAGAATGATTTATATCTGTAGGAATAAGGGCCCAGGGCTAAGGTCCCCTGTATTCTCAGTGCTGGGATTCCAAATACCAACCCCCCTCCCATCCAGGATGGTAACTGGACCTTGAGGCGGGGGAAATGAGATGTGCCAGCAATGAGGAGAAGAGGCTGGGGCCACAGACTTGCGTGCATTCCTGTAGGTTCCCCAGCCTCTTTATGTCTCCTTCTCTGATCCAACTCTAGACACCCCAAAAAAAACCATACAGAAAATACTGGTTGTGAAGATTGGAGGCCGATAGGATTACACCCTCAAGATTGCATTACAGTCTGCACATACAGTATTGAGATGTGCACTCAATTTTCAATTGCATTGTGTTCCTATTGCTGTCTAGCAACCAGTTTTTATGTTCAGAGCATTTTCTCTGCCTTCAAAATCCTCCCCATCCCTCCAAATGTGCAACCAGTAATCTTTTGATAGACGTATGTAAAGTGCTTTTTTGTGATAGAGCTGCCATGAGACCATGGGTCCCCAATCCTGCATCTACTGGTGGTGTATGCAACTATTTTAAATAGGTTTTGGAGTTATGTTCTCTTCTTACCAGTTTTGCCACATGAGTATTCATGTGACCTTTAAATACAGGAATCAGAAAATGCAAAGTTACCTCTAGAGCAGTGATTCCCAAAGTGGGCAGTACCGCTTCCCTGGGAGCAGTGGAAAGATCCAGGAGGACAGTGAGGAAGGAGGAAGCAGCAAGGGGGTGTTAGGAGAGGATAGATCACTACTACAGAAGAATCAAAGAGAATGAAAAGGCAAACGTTTGTAAAATAAGATGATCAAGGAGCCTCTCTCCCCTCCCTGCAGCCCTGCAAGCTGCCGTCCCTCCCAATGCTCTGGTGAGAACTGGAAGGAGAGAAGGGGAGAGAGAGAGAGAGACTGGGCAAGCTGTAAAACAGCTGTTACACACCAAAGAGGGGGCCCTCTTCCCCATGGGGCTTCACCAGCAGGCCCAAGGCCTTCCACACCTGCTTCACCATCATCACCACAGCTGCTGCCAAAGACTGCTGAGGAGCCTGCCTCACTCCCCCTGCCCCCCGGGCCCACAAACTGCTGTCCATCACAGCACCCCCTCCTGATACCCCGGTGAAAGCAGAAGAGAAAGGTTGGGCAAGCAAGTGGTATTAATTCACCTAAGGTATGAAAACTTCTAGCACCTCTAATCCAAAGAAAGAGGCATGAGGGTGCTAGGATCATTGCCCAAGAGGAAAGGGGGCGGCAGCCCAAAAAAGTGTGGGGACCACTGCTATAGAGCAACACTTGCCATATCAATAACTGTTTTAATGTATTTATTGTTACTTGAAGGATATGCCGTATTCAGCACTCAGGTACCTATCTCCTATTTTTGTTTTTAGAGTTGAGCATGCTTTTCTCAACCACTGGAGGGTAATATTCCAGTATATTATTCCTCCCTGTTGCTCCAAACAGGAAGATTTAATGCAAATAAGAATATTTGTTCCCTTTGTCTTCTAGTCTGATTTTTCCTGTTTTGCAAGAGATCTCTGCTCTTTGACCATTTGGAGAGGGGTGTTTCAAGTGTGTTTCATTTAACAATGGAACGCATTTTTCCTTTCCACCACACCTAACATACTTATGTATTAGCATTTACACACTACCTTATCTACTAAAACGTGATCAGGGCCAGGTTGTTGTTGTTGTTAGTCTCAAAGTCATGTCCGACCCATCACGACCCCATGGACAACATTCCTCCAGGCCTTCCTGGCCTCCACCATCCCCCAGAGTCCACTCAAGCTCACACCAACTGCTTCAGTGACTCCATCTAGCCACCTCATCCTCTGCCGTCCCAATTTAAAACAGTGAAATCTTAAACCTATAACAGTATAAACATTAAGAACAATAGAACCATTACAACTATAAATTTTGAAACACTAAAAAAGGAATCTTGTGACCCCTAGACTTCAGCTGGCAGGCCACAGGATACTTTGAATTCCCAGATCTGAGGTCAGAAACACAGCCCAGAACTGGGAATCCACACTGTGATCTCTCGCTTTCCCCCACATCACAGCTGGCGCAGATAGAACCACGCCAGCTGCCACTCCAAGCTCAGGAACTTGACCTTGGAATAAGGTAAAGAGGGTGTTCCATTGGGCGAGGAAGAAACTGCAGAGGCCAGAATATGACCCTCTTGGTTTATCTGCAGCCACTCTCTCCCATGCCAAAGTGCTACAATTAGACAGTTGAAAATTGGCATTTACTGTATATGCAAAGCAAGAGATATGAGGAGGTGGAGAGTACTACCAGCATTTCTCCTCCTCTGTATAGAATGCTTATAAGCTTTCAAATTAAGGAACTTAAAAGCATCAAGGGCACCACCTGCAGAACTGCATGCCAGCTTGAAAAATATGCTCCTTCCTGTCCTATCTGAAGGCCAAGAGAGTAGGGCAAGTCACCATTCCTGAGAGATCATTTTCCACAATTTGGAAGTAATAATAAGTTGCAGTGCATTATAGAGTTGTAGGACCATAAGAAGAGTCCTGCTGGATCAGGCCCAGGGTCCATCTGGTTCAGCATTCTGTTGCCACATTAGCCTACCAGCTGCCCATAGGAATCGCACAAGCAGGGCATGAGTACAGCAGTTTCCCACCTATGTTCTCCACTACTGATGTACAAAGCTAATCCTCTGATCTGGGGGTAGCCTATACCAATTAGGACTAGTAGCCACTGATAATCGTATTCTCCATGAAGTTATCCAGCCACCGATTGTAGCAATTCAAACTACATCTTGTGAAACTTAATTCCAGAGTTTTAGCTATGTGCTGTGTGAAGAAGTTATTTCTTTTATCTGTCCTGAATCTCTAACCATTCTGCTTTATGGGATGACCCCTAGTTTTCTAGTATTATGAGAGGTGCGAAAGAAAGTATCTCCGTGGCCACTTCCTCTATACCATGTATAATTTTATATCCATCTATGATATCTCATTTTTCCCTGTATTCTAAGAATTTTGTGTATCGGTGAGTTTGTTAATGGTATAGTTTTGGTTACGCTGCTGCAATGTGTCCCCAGACTGGAAGATTGTTACTCCAACTTACAGGGATGTAGGTTTAATTTGCATAAGCCCTGCTTGTTGGAGCAACTGGAAGGAGTAACTGTACCAGGATGCCATCAGTCCACTGATGAGAAAAAACCTTCATTGTAAGTTCAGTGTTTATTCCCCCCAAATACTTAATATTTGCACTGCAGCGGCTCTGCTCCCATTACACATATGCATATATTACAGTACTATTTCTGGAGCATTACCAAGACTAAAATTCCAGCTGTTACACTGGAAAGGTTACAATTTGCCCAAGTCTTGTAGTAGAGGCAACACTTTTTTTTTCATTTTATACACTAGTATCCTATATGGATGTCAGGTTTGGTGTGATAATATTTTACTACTGACATGGTTCTTACTGTAGTGAATTTTATAAACTACTTCTTAAACCTGATTTTAAACCAAAATGAAACATTTACGTATCACTGGATTTCATGGAGCTTTCACAGGTATTACTTTAATAGGGAAAGAAAAATGTTCAGTATCTCTCTAGCCTAAGAACTTTAGAATGGAGTGGAGGGCTGCCTCAATTGCTGTCTTGTATTATGCCTGTTCTCTTTTTATTTGAATTCATTGTTAATGCATTTTGCCTATGGCACTCAAATTTGCTTTCCCAGCATTAGTGTGGTACCAAGAACTGGAGAATTTTGTCATTTCTTTTCAAAAATCCAAATCCACAAGAGCATTCTTCATTCAGACAAGCTATGAAATGAAATGGCAAAGAAAATAAATATTTGTAACATCAGTGACTATGTAGCTAGCTATACTTTATCAAAGGAAATAGTGTTATCACAAGTTGGTTTCTTTGAAGTCTCCTTTGAGGCAAATCATAAATAGAATGTGAATCCCAAGAGACAGAAACTTCATAGATTTTCCCAAATGGTTAAAAATATGGCACAGGGCCTTCCAAACTTTTTCCACTGGTTTAATGTTAAGCTGTTGCTGGAAGTTTCTAACTTAATTGCATGTTTAGTTTATTTTAGTGAACAGTATTGAAATGATTGATAAAGGCCAGAAAGCTGTAACTGTGGCTTTCTGCTCTTCTGACACAAAATAGACTAGGAGTCCCCAGCTTATTAGGAAGGGGGACATGGGCACATTTGGGATGTTGAAAGAGTGCTATGGGTGCCGTCACAAAATGGCTGCCATGGAGAGATTCTTGACATAATATGGGAATTCATTGGGCATGGTCAGTAACAAAACACTCAGTTCCAAGAAGATAACTTGATGAGAATGGGAGAAAAAACGTAATACAAAGCAGAGGTGAGGGCTGAGCTTCAAAACATAAAACCATTTGATTGAACCAGGATAAAGAAGGTACAGGAGAGTAGTACTGGGTGTTGCAGAAAACCAGCCTTCCAGTTTTCCATAAGAGTGCCGTTTTTTAAAAAACTTAAGAAATAAAAATCAAGTAGTTTAGTGGGTGCCAAGAGAAGTGTCTGTAGGCAGCACTTTGGACACCTCAATCATAAACTAGTTTTGAACTACCACACTGAGAACTGCTTCTAAAAGTAGTTAACAGAAGGTAGCAAAGTACTTGCTTTGCTTTGCTTTGCTTTGCTTTGCTTTGCTTTGCTTTGCTTTGCAGTCTAAAATCTTGTTTGGCTCACAGGATTAGTTCATAGTGCTGCTGTGTTTGAAGTTAAATATTAAACATTTTATTGTGTATAACAAAATGTCTTTGCAGCCTCTCAGTTTATACAGTATATAGAAATACTATTTGTGTGAATTTTATAAAACTGATCATTGTTAAAATGAAATTAAAAATATGTATTAGCCATAATTGTTTCCCATGTAAATCAGTTTAGTTTAATACATATAAACACTTATTAAAATGTAATTTCTTAGATTCAATGGCAGACAATGTCATGAGCAGTTTTATTATCAATTTCTTCAAGATTGTGTGCAATTTTTGTGACATACCATCCTCCTCTAAAATTATTATCACAATACCTTCATCCCTACCTTTTGTTTCTCTTGCAAGGAACTCAAACATCTTACATGAACCTCCTTTGGAGGTTAGACTGAGAACCAGAAGCTGGCCCAAAGTAACCCAGTGAGCTTCTTGGCCAAGCTGGGACTAGAATCCAGATCTTCAAAAACCCAGTCCAACACTCTTACAACTACAATACACTGCCTCTCTTCCCATACTTGTAACTACAGCTTCCCATATATATCTCATGATTCATGTATATTTTGTGTGGCCCTTCTGATGCTATTTGTAAAGAAATATCTTTTGTTGCATGACATTTATTTCATTTAATATAATGAGTCATGGTATAATTGCATATGATAAATAATTGAATTACACTTGATTACACATTAACAACATAACTTTTTAAAAAACATTTCTCTGCACAGCGGGAACAGCTGAAGACAAGATCCGACTGTTCCTTATCTATTACATAAGTTCTGTACAGTTGCCTTCTGAGGTATGTATTTTTTGTGAAACAATATCTGCACATTTCATGCCTAATTTACAGCTTTTCTGGATAACTAAATTAATCGTTCAGCAGATATCTGTTTACACTGAATATTCTTTCTAAGTTCCCTATTAGACTGTGCAGATTTCAGTACAAAAAACTATAGATCCAATGTGGGCATAAACATGCTTAGATCAGAAATATGCTATGGTTTCATGTATTGTTTTCCTCCCTGCACAAATTTTCACATTCCTTCTTTTTTTAAGCTAAGCATTATAAACACTTGTTTACAGCAAACCATGCTGAACATAGTATAGGTAGCTCTGGAAAAGGAAGGATGAAAGGATTCACAGAGGCAGCAAATTGCTTTCAATGGATTTTCAATCACCCAGCTAGAATAAGGAGATCAAGAATGTCAGTCTGCATCAAGCTATATGTTTGCAAGAATGGCAAATTTTCATCCTAGAATGTCAGACTACCAGTGCATCCTGTGGATACTGATGGTAGCAAAAAAGCTACTCCTGCCATCAAGTTGAAGTTTCTAGCACTCTATATTGAATGACCACATTTCTTAGTGAAAGTTTGGAGATTCTCTGTCAGTCTGTTTTCAAAAGGCTTTGCTGTAAAATTGCAGATATTGGTACGTAAAAGCCTCAAAGTGAATACTTACATTAATTTGTTTCAACACTCTTGTTTTCTTGATTTGCAGTGTAGTAGCAGTAGCATGCATGTTTTGTCTTCTAGTGAAATGTTAATATGCCCACATATCAAACATGTCAATATATGTTAATACATCTGCATATATATTTCACATTATATTATAGGTTTTTAAGCAGGTCATAGAATATTGCTTGGGTGGGTGAGTGTACACACCATGTTTAAATGTCTATAGCTACACTGGGTTTTATATTATACATAGTACTGTATTTTTAAGGTTCTCTGTCTATTTGATAATATAGAAATGAAAGGAAATTATTTTTTCATGTTCAGTAGTGCTTAGAAGATAACGGACATTTACTTATTTTCTCTATCCTGGAATCAAAAGATTAAATTTATTAGTAATAAACTGAAATGGTGATTTAGAAGAGTTGTAACAAATTTCAGATCTCTGGTTTGATTCCAGGCAGATTTGGAACAGTACAAAAAAGCACTAACAGATGCAGGATGCAACCTTAGTCCTTTAGCCTACATTAAACAATGGAAGTAAGTTGATTTTATTTTCATAAAGCAATGATATAATGTATTGGGAAAACGTAGATTTGAATTTTGCTTTAATTTCAATCCTGCTATCCTTGTAGAATGCACACAGCTTGTAGTTTCCAAGAGAAGCAGACTTGCTGACAAGTTTTCCATCATAATAACATGTTCTACACTTTTAGTCTTTCACTTAACAGTTACTGTGGCTGTTGTATTTTTTAAGGTGGCTTGGTTCCAAAGCACTGTACTCATATAAAAGAAAGTCAGTGATTTCATCTCCAGCTTCAGCTGCAGCCCCACCACCACCGTATTGCATGGAAGTACCCTAGTTCTCTGGAGTGGCTTTCATCCCTAGGGATAAAAGTGGATCTACATGGGGCGTCATATCAACAACAGTAAAATACATATTTACACAAACAGAAGGACTTCTGCATGTGCAATCAGAGATTTGGAGTCAAGTTTTGAATTACTTTTTTTTCATCCTAGCAGAATCTTATGTATCAATACTTTCAGTAGTTAATATTTCATCAACTAATCTATATTGGCTATAATTAGGTTTCTTTATTTTAGCATATCTAAGAGAAACTGCAAGCAGTTGAAGATTATCTATTCACTACATTTGGTCCAAGCTGTTAATATGGTAAAAAATTTAAGAAAAACCCATTACGTTTTTCTTATGGTTGTTATGTGTCATCAAGTCATCTCTGACTTTCAGTGACCCCATGAATGCTCTCCAAAATGTCCTGTTAACAGCTCTGCTCAGTTTTTGCAAACTCAAGCTGCAGCTTCCTTTATGGAATCAGTCCATCACATACTTCTTCTTTCTTCTTCTGTCTTCAATTTTCTCTGGTGTTATTGTCTTCTCCAATGAGTCTTTCCTATTCATGATGTGTCCAAAGTACAACAGTCTCTGTTTTATCAGTTTTGCTTCCAGGAAAATTTCTGGCTTGATTTGATCTAGGCCCTGCTTGTTTATCTTTCTGCTGGTCCAGGGTATTCTCAAAGCTATCCTCCAACACCATGTTTCAGAGACATCATTTTCTTCTGTCAACTTTCTTCACTGTCCAGTTTCGCATCCATACATAATGACTGGGAATACAATTGTGTGGATAGTCTCAGACGTGGTCTCCAGTGACACACCTTATATTAAATGGTCATCTAGTCATGAAGGCATACCAGCCTTTTTAACCCTTGAGAGAAAAGGACAGTACCCACTGACTACCAGATGCTCCATTCAACCCCTCCTCCTGGTTTTCCTAAGCATTCATCAGAAAATGAATCTGAACTAGTGGCAAGAAACATACTGTTTAAAAATGTGATACTCTGGTTCTCAAGATGGTGGTGCAATAGTCAGATTCAGCATCTGAGATCCTCGGCAGTTTTAACACAGCTCTGCAAACCTCCAAGTTTGGTGTCTTCACAGCTACTGAAGAAATGAACTATTGGATTGTACAACATCTCAACCAAAGTGCTCTTATTAGGGGGCTTTTAACATTTCAAAATAAATTCTTACTTGATTTTGTTAGTTGGTTTATGTTATAATCATTGTAATAAGGTCACAAATTATAAGTGCAATTATCATAATGTCTTCAGTAAAAGGAAAGAAAAACTATTTCTTCCTGCCTTCTCTGACCTTTTTAATTTGGTTGATGTGTTGAAAATGCTCAGTATTGAGCACAACTTTGTTGAATGTGTTTAGAATATTTTAAAATAGTTTAGTATATTGTAATGTTGAATTTCAGTTAGAGAGGGAGAAGGATGTTGTTTTTAATGTACCTGCTTGCCTAATTAATTGTTACAAGATAGCCTTTTCCATGTGAAGTAAGAGCTATTTCTATCCTCCAGTAACTAGAAAAGCTGTATTCAAAAGCTTAATGCATCATTCATGATTGGAGATAGTTTGTTGGTGTACTGATGAAAATAAATTAAGCATGTAGATATTAACTTATTTATTTTACAGAGCTTTTGCCAAGATGGCTTCAGCTCCAGCTACCTATGGAAACAGTGCAGCCAAATCATTGGGGTGAGTTTCAAAGTACATCTGTTTTTTAACTAACTGCTTAAATTTAATTTATATCCTACTCTGTGCAGTTTGTCCAAAAGAACTCCCCAAGTAGGCTTACAGAACAACAAATAAACAAAATACCATACTACTTTGTAGCAGTAAAATTACATAAAATTCATTAAAACAGAAGAAAAATATATATTAAAAGCATCATAATTTTATTCATTCATCCATTCATTCATTTATTGCATTTCTATACCACCCCAATAGCCCTGAGGGCTCTCTGGGTGGTTTACAGACATTAAAACCGCAAATACAATATCCAGTCCCAAACTAATAAATTGTCTGCACCACGACTGAGTATAAAATGGCATGGTTAAAATGAATTAAATGAATAGATATACAATTAATATTAATTAACTTTAAAATATTGGTCAAATAAAAAGGTCTTGACCTGGTGCCGAAAAGCATATAATGACGGTGCCAGGCAGACCTCTCAAGGGAGCACATTCCATAGTCGGGCGCCACCAGTTCATTTTAACATTGGCTTCCCAGGCATTACTTTGATTAAAGTGGATCCCAAAGTTCTTTCCTTGCAAAAGCTTAAAAAAGCTGACTTGCATTCACATAACTTGGACTGCAACTCCCATCATTCCTGACTTTTGACTATGCTGCAAGAGACTTATGGGAGTTGAAGTCAAAAACACCTGGACTTCATTTATTTGACTTTTCTCCTGCCCCATTAGCCATAAGGCTTTCTGGGTGGGTTACAAAGTTTTAACATATACAATAAAATACAATTAAAAATAGCAATTAATATGGTAATGAAATCTAACAATCCAACAAGCAAAACCTCACCATTATAAAGCCTCACAGACCCATAATTTATTCAAGGATAATATAAAAGGCACAACCAATTATAAGGCATTAAAGCCATTAAAATCATTCTTGCAATAAAAATAAAAAGGTCTTCACTGGCACCAGAAAGAGTACAAAGAGGGAGCCAGGTGAAAGGGTTGAGGACATCCTGAATTACACCTAATAAAGTGTAAGAATATTTTATTCATGAGGTACAGTTCACCATAAATGTATGTTAAATATGAAAGCAAACCAATTTATTCATGATGTACCCTTTATATTTTAGGCTTTTCTCACGTGTAATGAATACAGGATCCCAGTTTGTCATGGAAGGAGTCAAGAATTTAGTACTAAAGCAACAGGTGTGTCCATTTTATTATTTTTGAAACTAAAGATGTTTTGCAGTGTAACTAGGTTAGCATAAATTTCTAAGAATGCAGATATTATATATTAGTAACAGTAGATCATGGATAGACAAACTGCACTCTTTAATTTGCATATGACTGCTAAGTTGTTCATCTGTCATTGCTAGCATATTTTAAAATGAGTAGAAGTAGAATCAAAAGAATTTTCTACCACTGGTCACTTATTGTGAAGTTTTATTCTTAAATGGCTGAGGCATTCAAATTACCTGGTTCAGATAACTACACACAGGCTATTGCTGCCCCTAATTTAACTCCTCTCTTAATTGTGCCGTATGTCCCTCCATTATTATCTTTCTCAAGCTTGGCCAAGGCTTGAAAACTGGGGGTGAAGTCAGTGGGTGCTGTGTTTCACACAAATTCTGCATTTCTTGGTTGCTATGCAAGGATATCTCCTAACATCAAACAGGAATGAACCTTCACAGTATGTGACCACTATTCCATTCTA